AAAAATACCCTATACCGTAGAAAAGCATTGAGTTATGAATGATTTAAAAGTATGTGTTGAACTTTATGTCTTCCTGAATGACTGCAAGATTGTTGGAAAAGTGTTTCACTTAAAAAAGAAAAAATTAAAACCAATTTGCCATTAGAGCTAAGAATAATCTACATTTATTCACAAGTAAGGGCATATATAGGTCTCTACATATACTCTACATCCATATTCCTTCTATTCTTTGAAATCTTTTTTGTATATCAACTACTGAAGAATATTCTAAAGTTGGAATTAATAAAGGAGCTGCTATGATTTTTTAGGATTTCCATGAGATCAAGATAGCCTTTAAATATTGGATAGGTTTCTGTTTTCTGTATTATATTGAATCCGATAAACTTTTGAAAGCTCTATAAAAGTAAAGAGTTACCATCTTGTAATATGCACATTGAGATAGATTTGTTGATAAAACTCTGGAAAACTTGTAATCAGCTCGCAAGGATTTCCTACTCCCAGTCTTTAATGGAAGTAATGTCAAGCTCAACTCCTGGTGACTTCACGGATGTATCCAGGCAATTTGCTTGGCAATAATATGAAAATGGCTGTTTGGCTGTTGCTTTCTTTCAGAATTTTTTTTTTTTTTTTTACTTCCAGCCTAGTCTACAGCCATGAATCCCCTGGTAGTCCCTATCCAAGAGAAAGCATGAGATATCTAAGGATGAATAGACTATGAGTGCTCAGAAAAACGTCTAGGCTTAGTATATATATTTTGCATCAGATTTTGTGATTTTAATTAAAATACTTCCTTCAACCTTAACTATTCTTATCATTATTTATATGTAGAATGAAGAAACGCTCTAAGATAAACTTGAAAAGAAATACTATATTTTGTCAGGTATCATAGTTGAGCTGTTTCTTTATTCAATCATGTAAAATTTCATTCTTTTCTATTCTCCCTTTCTCATTCACTTCACATCCTTCCATAATGGTTTGACTCAAGCAATTTTAAAGATTAATCCATAAAAAATTAAAATTTGTTTTATGTAAAGAGAACACACACATAAAATACTGATGCATGTTTAAACAAAATAATTGAAGTTTGTTTTCATTTATAATCCCATTACTTTCCCATTTTGGTCATATATTTTCAACAATTCTGGAACAGCATCTTTTTTTAATATGAAGCATCAGTTCAGTGTTTCAGGTTGCTTGTAACTGCTGAATCTCTTACTATAGGATAAATTCCAGGTTATGATGAAGAATAACAGCCTCCCTTTTGGAAGGATTAGTTCAGTGTTATACTGTACCTAAGCATGCTTCACCCAAATATTGCTGTCCAATTCATTTAAAGAAGGATAATTTGAAAATGGAGGATTCAGTTTGAATTGAAGAGGTAATGATTATGTATGCCTAATTCTCCCACATCTGCTTATTTTCTTCTACTGTTCCTCTTTTATGCAGGTGGATGGGTGTAAATTACTGGAAGAATTAAGTAATCAAACACTGGTTCTCTGCCTCAAATTCTGTGATCTGTTCTCAGAGTTGTTTGTTACTGGTGAAAGTGGGCACTGGAATTTATTTTCTTTAACCAGTCTTCCTCAACATGAAGCTACATTGTTAAGAATTAGATGTCTATTGATACAATTAATTAATTATTAAATTTATATGCTGTCCATCTCCCCCAGACAGTGACTCTGGGCAGCTTACAATTAAAAACCAAGACAATAAAATGACAAATACCCCCCAATTAAAACACAAATAACAAATCTATAAAAACAATATACAAATCAAGAAGATGGGGGAAGCAGTATCAATCATCCCATGAGCCAGTTCCAGCAATGTGAGCCCCCATCAGGCCCTCTGGCATAGCCATGTTTTTACACCTTGTTGGAAGGCCAGGAGAGTGGGGGCAGCCCTCACCTCAGCTGGCAACTGTTCCATAGGGTGGAGGCCACGGTAGAAAAGGCCCTCTTCTTAGACCCCACCAGCTGAAATGCCTTGACTGGTAGGGTCTGCAACATGCCCCTTCTGCCAGACCGAGTAGGGCAGGCAGATATAACTGGGGCGAGATGGCTTCTCAGATAATCTGTACAACATACAATGGTATTTTGAAGGTCTTCTTGCCCTCATGAAACAAATGTCTTTTATTCTTGTAGGCTCATGAATGAAATATAAGAACTTTTTTATGTTGGTCAAAGTAGAGGTGGCAGATGGAAAACGTTTACTTTGATAATTTCTGGTAGTGCTAGAAGAATGTGAAAAATCTCTGTAATATTTCCAAGGGCACAGAAATCTCTAGTCTGGTGAGTTGAACTAGTGAATGAAAGCCACGCTGCTAAATTTGGGGCAACTTGCCTTTGGAAGTCCAAAGTACAGAATTTAAGTGAAGGGGGAATTAAATATCTGCAATTTTGAACTGTTTCTCTTTCTAGCTAGACTTTATGGAAAAATACAGTTTCTCAGAGTAAATTTTGGATGAATAGCATGCATATCTCAGACTATATAGCTATAAATCTCATATAGGGCGTTGTTCTCAGTCATACATTAAATGCTACATACACCATACCATATATGTGTGGTGTGTGTATTCCATAGAGGCAATACTTATATTAGGTCAATTGTCGTTCTACAAATTAACATAGACTTTTGAGTTTCAGAAACTCTTCAAGAAGCAAATTGGTTAGGGAGAAAAAAAGGAAGGTGGGAAATGTGACCAATCTTGGAGACATTTTGTATTAGCCTAATGGATAAATGGTATATTGGGACAGTCTCTAGCCACATATGCCTCCAAGATTCATAGAATGCAAAGATATCTTTCTTACATTCTCTGGCATCTTATGTACAGGTTCTGAAGATAAGTAACAAAGTGGATTTTTAAAATTATGTTCGTATATAAGGATATAACGATGATCCACTTTCTACTTCATTGCATTTGTATTTGATTGTATTTGTTGCATAAGGCATAACAATTATTTCTATTTCCCATATGGCTTCTCTGTAGAAGACTGCCAGCTTTCCGTCTCCCAACATTAGAAAATATTTATTTAAAGGTTTCCAGCTCGAGATTAGTATGCTGCTGTCCAATACGTTTGGAAGGCACCAAACTGAAGGACAAGCTTTAAAGAATTTTAGAATTCTCACTTAGGCTATTAAGGACAGGCATGTCTGATTGCTGATTGCATATCCTGATTGCTATGGATATCTCACGTTAAAGTAGGCCAGAATTTGCCTTCTGCCCATTAGCTTTCCCAGTGTTTATTATTAGCTGTTCCCAGATTAGTTTGCAGACAGATATTTTCCCTCAGATTGATTCAGGCCCTATGCCGTGCCAAACTGTGTAAGGTGTAACCTAGGTGTAAGTTGCATGTTTTGTTTAATAGCATAATTGCTTCTCAGATGTAGCCAAGAAATGGTGTATTTCATCTGGATACAGTCTTCTGAAAACTGCTTCAGAACCTTACCTAGATGGTTGTCTTTTCCCCAAATGCAAGATCGTCAGTAATGAGTACCACATACGTTTGAATATTTGTACTAGTTTTCTATGTATATAGACAAATTATTTGGCTGTGTCGATTCCAGTGGAATCCAGATTTATTATTTTTTCCTTTTATTTTTATTTAAAACAAAGGTATGTTCCAAAAAAAGATACTATCTATGAATGGACTGAAGTTATACAATTAATGCTCAATATAACATTAGTCATAGATACAAAGCAGAGTACATTGAGTTGTTTTCATGATATAAAAAGGATATAAATTCTTGAGCTTAATGCCAAAATCTCTACTATATTATTATTATTATTTATAAAAGTTTACAAAAGAAAAGAAAGAAAAAAACCCCTAAAAATAATATTGATAAATATTTAAATTCTGACTTTCCCCTTTTTTTGTACTCATACCAATTGGCAGTACTATTGGGGTAAACTTTAGAAACCAAGTGTTTATCTTGCTGTGTAATATATATGGAGGTTATTCTTAAATTTAGTTAAACTTATGTATATATACTGTTTTGTTATTGCTGCATATTCTTATAGTTTGAGTTCCATATAATACGGAATCCAGATTTATCGAACAGGCATTATATATATCTTAATTGTTTTAAAACTCAAATTCTTAATTGAGATTCTCAGTTACTGCTTTTCTTTGCACTTATCCTTTAAGTTATACTTTAAAAACTGTTTGAAATTCTTGGGTTCATGGCAATATAAAATTACTTCAAGTATCTAGTGCAAAATTATTATGAATGTATATTCATTAGCTATGTAAATTTCAGTAAATTACAACCTTTAATTTTTCCCCTTATGGTTTCATATATGAAGGTTTAGCAACCTTGATTTAATCTGAAAATATAGTGACATTTACAAAGGGAAAGAAGAAAAATTTGTGGGTTGTTTTGTATTTGGCTTTATTTATTACTGTGTTTTTCTTTATTTCCAGGTATTTTTTGGTAGACTTTGATTCTGCTCCAACAATTATTACAAGTCTATTGGACCATTTAAAACGGGACATTGATATAATCAGGTCTACTGTTTTAAAACATCGCATAGAGCAGACTCAAGAATGTATGGGCATAATGCCAGTCAACTATGAAGATGAACTACAGAAGAAGAAATAACCAAAAGCCATAATAACATTGTTACCATTAATCTGAACCTTCTCATAAGCATGTGTGAGATGTGGTATGATGTTTCAACATAGTTTAATTTTTAGCACCTTGCAGCCAATCACCACTATTCTTATTTATGTATTTTAAAAATCAGCTTTTTTCCCTCTTGTTGCTTCTCTTACTGAAATCTGGTCTGCCCCAAAAAGCTAATGCTGAAATTTTGTCACTTTGAACCAAGTAGAACTTTCTTCCAAATAAACAGCTTTAAGATCAAGTTAAATCTTTCAGACATAGCACTCATAAACAAGTAAAAACTGTAAAATGTTAAATGAAATCTGTTGATAATTACAATAAAAGTTTTAAAAATAAGTTTATAGACCAATGTATGTAGTCTGTTCTCTGGCATATTGTTTCCTCCATTCAGCACATCTAAAATCTAATGAGTACTAGTTCATGGAAGTTAAGAAAACTATATAGCTATTTAAAATCCCAACAGTCTTGAATGTAATTTTTGTTTTCAAAATAGGGGCAGATCATATATTTCTATTTTGTTATTAATATATTCTTAAATGTAATCTCTATTGGCTTCTTATTTCTCTTGCTACAATAAGTAGATAGCATTGATAGTTGAATTGATTTCCTCATCCTGCCAGCCTTAAATGCATTCTCTGTGAATGAATTGATTAAATAAAGTTGTGGCAATTGCCTCATTTTATTTTTTTCCCCACATTCTGCTTTTCTTTCCTCCCTCAATATGTCAATATGTTCTCCACTGGAGTGGCAAATCCTACCTTTCCATAAAATCAACTAGGTATTAACAAAAAGAATAGACTCACATGGTTACTTTTTTAAAAAATAGGGCTACCTTCATTATAATATAACTAATATCTAATACTAGTTTTGATTGCTGTAGTTCTTAAAAACCATTTATTAATTACCAGCTCTTGCAACAGGCTTGTTTAGTTTACCATACAGAAAACAGATCCACTCTATATCTGCTTGTATCTCAGCACCAGTTCTCCCAATTTATTTACTAGAGCCATCTTCCCTTGTCTGGAAATCCTCCTGTGATTCATTGTTATGGGAGTCCAACATATCTCCAAACTGAAGAGGTTGCACTCACGGAATCAGAACTCTTGAAGTGTGTTTCCCAGTCTAAAAAGCTTGAGTTGAAAAATTGCTGGTTCTGTACTGGTAGAAATCAATATGGCCAGCTTCTTTTAATTTAAGGAATATTATGCAAATATACCTAGGTTATTTAAAATAAAAGGCCATTGTGCTAAAAAAAACCCTGAGGAAACAAGGCATTACTATCTAATGTGCATCACCTAGATCAGGATGAGAGCCACAGAGATGATAAAGCAAAAAGTAGAACTTTGACCATTGAAGCTATCAACTACAGCAGAGCACTCTATTGTACTATGGTTGCATTCATGCCCAAATACTTTTCATCAGAAATGTCTTTGTGACATATTTAGTGGCTGGCTTACAATGAGATATATTCACCTCTTTCAAATCCCTCCACTTGCCCTAGTATGCACTTTCTTTTTTATTCCAAATATAATTATAATTGAATCTCTATGTTGCCCAGATCTGTAATTAGCTATTTAAAGTTCATAATATGCATTAGCTTTTTAAAGCCCCAAATAACTGAAGCTTTCTTTGGAGCATACATTGACTTAATTCCAAGGTATGAAAGTATTTCTGGGAAAATGGTGTTTTTAGTCAGGTGAAAAGAGGAGGTCCTATAGAAACTAGCTGGTCATAGTTTCCTATTTATATAGGAAATGGTACATGATATGGTAAACTATTTCAAGAGCTGGAGTCACTCTCAGCTATAGATAATTAGGTTAGCGTTTTCAAAATATCTGAGCATTTGGCACTGTCTTTTAAATAACCAGGAATACAAGATTTTTCACAAAATGTATTTGCCAGCAAAAAGCAAACAGTACAGTCCTCTTGGACGTAACCAGCGCTGTTGGGGCCAGGATTACAGAAGGCATTTGTAAACGACTTGAAACCAAATATTACAGTCAGATGTGCAAATGGCATTAAGTTATGTTTGAAAATTTGAAATGGACTTTGAAAAACTCCCAGAACTTTGAAAACTGGGCGATTGGGGAAAGAAAAGAATTTTAATTGCCCTTCAAAGAGAGAGTTCATAGGCTACCGATTGAAAGGTATCGTTCAGCTGTTTTCCTTTTTCAGTTTATTTACTTTGGTGGTAAGAAAGGGCAAAAGAAGTCATGGGAAAATGAGAGGGCTGTAAATGAAAACTAATGCTTGGTATCTTTTCTGTTTGCAACAAATGAAACAGTATTTGGAGCTATGCTAAAACTGAATTTTAAGCATTTTGAAGTTTTCATGATCTTTCATAAAATATGATCATGATTGGCATGGCTAGTCATAAAATGCGCATTGATCAATGAGGTCAATTCCCATCAATGCCTCTAAGCCCTTCTCCCCAGACGCTTTATTCTACTCAAGCTTAACTTGGTCTTTTTTCCAGGCCAGATTGGCAGCATAATTCCCAAATTAAAACAGTAGGGTGCAGCAATCCATCACTTCTTTTCTGTAAGAATATGACATTGTGGGGCTTGTTGTGAATAAACATGATTCCAGCTCTCCATTTAGTTTGGGTATTTAGGTTTGTACGTGCCTGGGTTTAATTAAAGGGACAACAAAAGTCAGGTGAAGTGGCATCCACAGGCATACTAGTGCTACTTACGTTAGGTGGCCTGTTTTGGTTAAAAGTATTTTCTATAATACATTTCAGGCAAATACTTGCAAAGCATTTCATACTCATATAATGTAAAGTAAGCATTAAGCCAGAGAATATAAGCTTTAAAATAATGGGGGATAGGACTGTGATGCAACCCAGCTCTTTTTAATGTTCAGTTAAATGGTTCTTGAGGAAGTCAGTGATAACACTCATGGGATGGATGGATCACCTTACTTGAAATCTAAGCTGTCACTTTCCTTCTCAGGACAGCTGCTTATTGAGTGATTACACATGAGCCTTGTTCAGGTCAACAGCTCCTCTTCAAGTTGTCCTGGTGATGCGATTGAAGAACTGGTCCATGGATAAAGCGTAGTGTTTTGCCATGGGGAATCTCCACGTACCATCAGCATTTCAGCTCAAGAGAAAGCATATGCCTGTATGTGAAGGCTCCCTTCTACAGATGATCACACTGTACTTGTGGAGATGTCACTGATTTACCCAGGAAAAGATTGCCTGTGAAGGGTTATTGAATATAATAATTTTTGCAAAGTATTTTGCTTTGTGAACTAGCAAATGTAGGAAGAAATATTTTCCTTAGAGTAATTTTTTAAAGCGCTTAAGTTCAGAAATAAGCATTTTTCCATTCCTGCATTTAAATGTGTTACCATTAAAAGAGGTGGTATCTGAATAAATAATTAGTTTTGATTGGGTCTGGCAATGAATAATTAATTAATGAAATAAGATAGTGTATGTGGTTCAGTTTTAGAAGTTACATTTCTTCCTACAGTTTATTTCATTTATACGATTTCTGTAACCACCCATCTCACACAAGTGACTCTGAAAGGCTTACAAGAATAAAAACAGACAACGCACCCCCCCAAACATAACACACACCCCCGACACCCAAGGATAAACTGTTAACTGTTAACCATTAATAGTAGCAGAGCTCATCTCCCTCGTGACCCACATGCCTGGGGAAACAGCAGGGTCTTCAATGCCTTGCAAAAGGCTAACGGTTTTATCTGATTCTTGCAAGCAAGTTAAGTAATATAACAATGAGCACTGGGAAAACAAAACCTCATACCCCAATATTTTTCAGTTAAGGCCAGTGGCTTTTCTGGAGAGTTCAGGAGGAGTAGGATTGCCTCTATTTATTTATTTAAACTATTTGTATAGCTGTAGATCTCGCAACAGTGACTCTGGGTGGCATACAGAGGATTAAAACCAACAAAACATAATACAATAGAAAAAAATAATGCGTAATATATGCCTGGGTCTAAAAATCCAGTATTAAACTGTACGGACCAAACAACAAATCCACCAACAGGACCAGTTTAACCTTCCCACCTCAGTGCCTGGGGGAATATTCAGGTCTTACAAAAGGCCAGAGGAGTTGGTACCATCCAGATCTCTAGAGCAGGGTTCCTCAACCTCAGCAACTTTAAGATGGGTGGACGTCAACTCCCAGAATTCCCCAGCCAGCCAAGTTACTGAGGTTCTGGTGGAGCAAGCAGAAATGACCTCAGACAGCGATCACACAAGTATCCTGGCTCTATCCATGCTACATATGTGATAAAAGCAAACTAGGAATTTACTGTCTAGTTAACAATGTCTGTTTTGGGTACGTTGTTGGAAAGCATTATTAAATTGAATTATTAACCTTACAGAACATTGATAACCCATGGTCCACAGATGGCATGCTTTCCTAAAGTCGTCTCCATTGCCAATGAAAATTGATGACATGGTTTGGGACTTCTTCAACATTTAATGCTCTGTTAGCTTTGTGCTTCAGTTAAATTTAATTCTGCTAAAATTAACTTCATTGTACATTTTTAGAGGCTATTTTTGGGTCTTGGCCCTGCTCACTTCTTTGAGTGCAAGTATACAAATACCAAGTTCAATCCTTGGCTTAAAATGGTTGTTTATCCCTGATACGAGGACAAATTGGTCAGAAGAAAAATTATGATGGCTTCTGTGAAGGTAAGGCCTGTTCTTAGGCAGTTTTAATTAGCATGTGGATAGAAGCAATCCTGTCGACTTAGTTTTCTTAAATTTTCAAAAGCCTTTTGACAAAGTCTGACCAAAACTCTACAGCAAGCTGGACTTCATTACTGCTAGCATTCATTATGCTATGAAACTGCTAAATGCAAAATCCCAAATATATTCCCAGTGGGAATTATTGGGGATTTTAAAAATGTCTCTAATTTCAGTGGGACCTTATTCACATGTACATGACAGTAAGTACCAACAAATTCAATAAGAGTTTTGTCTAAGGATACATCTGGGCTGTGAATGAAAAACAGACTCAATATTGTTCAAGGACAGTTATTAACCAGTAGGGCACATGAGAGAAAAAAAGTTGGTCATCTGCAGAGTCTTACTGCAGGTAGTGATCAATTTGACTTAGAATCATTTTTGTTTTGCCTCTGATGAGTTAGAATTTATGAAGGAATATAAAGGTTGGTATACAACAGCAGTTGTTTTTTTCCCTGGATTATTTATTTAACATTTTGGAAGTCTGAGAATAAAAATCAACATTTTATTATTTTTCTTTTCTTTCACAATTTTAATGTCAGAAAAATTGTGCTTTTAAGAACATGGGGTTTTATAATACAGGTAATCCTCATTTAGCGACCACAATCGGGAG